TGAACTGGAATCTCTGGTGAGTGAGAAAACTCAGTGTGTACTCCAAGCCGGAAAACAGGAAGAGGTACAGGAAATAAGCCAGGCCCAAGATTTTGAGATTCTGAAGGTCTAAACAAACAAAAAACAAACAAAAAAACCCAAACAAAAACACACCAAGGGGGAAAAAAAGTGAGCTAGAAATACAGCGGTGTTTTTCAAGCATAGCTTGAGAACATAACAACAATAGCAGAGCAACATTTATCAACTGTACAGGGAAAACTTCTCACCTCAGATGCTCATTTTAAATATCCATAAAAGACGTGCCACCAAATGACTTCTGACCACTACCTCCCTTCTTGTGAGGGGGGGAGAGCCAAATAGACTAACGTCTCTCTGGGTCACCCTGGTCTCACTCACCCAGTCCAGCCCCTCTGCCTCATGCTGACACCCCCACCTACACTGGGATTTATTTCTTTATTTTTAATCAATACCTGCATTCCACCTAATACCTTGATGCTGCTCTCGGGTTGATATTGGCTAAAGCACAGCATCCCTTTTTCTAAGCTACAAATGGTCTGTGATAGATTACCTTACTTGTGTTTCTGCCAATGCAGGATTTAACAAGTTTCTCCGAAGTGGCAAATATTATTCTGTTCCTGATGCAGCAGCAAGGAGGACTGACCTGGCAAACACTGATTTATTTTCTACAGCTTAGATAATTTCATTTAAAGAAATGTCCAGTTCAAACCCTACACCTCCAAGTCCTGAACTGAGAAATAAAATTTCAGTCTGAAGTTTCCTGGTTTGCAGCACATCTCCCTTATGCATGCCTTCATCTACCTCTTTAAATCCCTTCACTTACTGCAGCCTACCCCATGCTGCAGCCAGTGCCTAAGAAAAAGCAAGTAGCAAGTCAGAAACCTTCAAAACGCTAACCCCTAAAACCTTCTTTGGGGCATAACAGGACCAGCATCCAAGGGAACTTGCAACTCCCTGTTCATAAGTTAATAAGGTGGGTTTTAAATGAGTGAACAGAATGCTGCTTCTGAAATGGTTTGAGTAAAGTTTTCACTTAGAAACCATAGCCACGTACAAAAAGACGTACAATATTGATATAAAAAGCCAGCTAACACTTACTCTCCTCTGAAGGGGATTCCTTTCCTCGGGTGACTGCAGAAAACTGAAATAAAGCCAAAGGACTGAGCAAGTCAACTGCTGCCTGAAATCCAGATGTCACAGAAGAGACCTGATTGGAGAAAGAGAGAGGTTTATTTAAAAACCTGATGTAATAAATACTGGAAGGAATTGACAGTAAGAGTCAAGTGTGCTTCTACATCTACACAAATTATCTGAGATGAAACAAGGCAGCTGGCATTGGTGTTTGAGTGACCCCCAATAACATCCCAGGCTTTCTGATCACAGAACTGGCTCCAGCACTGTAACCAGAAGGTAGAGAGAGCACTGATAGCAGCTTTCACTGAAGACAGGGTTCTTAAAAAGTAGAAGAGATATGTTCTCCACAGCCTTGAAGGTGGCTTTATTTGGTTCACTTTTTGCATCAGCCCTCATGTCCAATGAACATTTACTGGGAAAATAATAGCACATCTGCCCGCAAGCTCATGGGAAGCTGGGGATTTGCTTGTGTGCTGCAGGTCTGAGAACAGTACGTGTAGCACATCTAACAATGGTCTGTTTTGGTACTGGTTGTTCTTTTAGCCAGCCAGTGACATCTCCTGGGGAAGAAAAGGAAAATATAATTTTTAGAGAGATTCCTTGGAGAGATTTTAGAGAGATTCCTCGAGACATTCTGCCCAGCCATATTGTATGGCTTTTTGAAGAGGAAAATTTGTTTTGTAGCACTTCTGGTCCTTGTACTGTGTATATCTCAACCTAATTATGCCTAGTGTCACTCTCTGCTCCTCCTCAACAGGAGCTTAGGAGAGGCTTATTCTTTCATCTTTAGGGAATTTAATGTTTTAATTTGTTATTTTTTTATTCTAAGGTATAGAAAATCGAAGAAAATACTAAAGAAAAAATGATGTCTAAATTCTTAAGGAAACAACTCCTTTTGAAGCAGGAGAATTTAGACTGTCACTTTACATGACAGTCACAGGAAGAGGTAAGACAGACTCAAGAATCCTGAATAATCACACTTGGTATTTCACATCTTCAAAGCACTGCACAGACTTTATCTGATGAGCTTCCTTCTCTTCCCAGATAGGGAGGGAGGGTGGGAGCTATCACCCCCCTGAGGGCAGAGATTAAAGGTCAAATTATCAGCGGAACTTAATCTTGGTGCATGACCCGAGGACCCATACGGAATGGATTTAATAAAGCTGTACACAAATCAACCTTCAATACGGTATTAACACGACCCGACTTGTTTTGATAGTCAGAGCATCTGAGTATCCGACAGAAGAGCTCTGGAGCCCATTACTCTCGCAACAGCAACCAGTTCAATATACCAGGCTGGTTTTGTATAAAGCCATAAAGAACAAACTGGGATATTTTTCTCTCCTTCCACTGCATGCATTGCAGAGAGCAAACAGACACTCCCAAGAAGTTGTTTCCTCATGCTTTTAAAAGGTCTGTAAGAGGATTTCCTGAAGCTGGCTGGTAGCAATCCTCAGTTCCTGCATTTGTTGGCACGATGATGTACTACAGCATAGAGAATCTGGTAACAAGTGACTCTCTTCAAGCATGTTTGCCAGTAATAAAAAAAACACTGCAGTTTGTACCTGGTTTGAATTATTATCCATGTCAGACAGGGTGCCAAGCTGCTTTGTATTACAAGGCTGATTTTAAGTTTGGTCCAGAGGATATGCATTATATATCTATATGTTTAAAATCTTAAGTGTTTTATGAAATATATATGCATATTAGATTTTTTTTAACATACGTGCGTGTGCATGTAAATTTAATTTCTCCTATCTTTGCCCTAGAAGCAATAGTCCAGAAGTGACTTCATCCACTGATTAATAATGAAAACATTGTCCTAAAACTGACAAAAGTGTTTCACCACCCCCAAATAACAAAACACTGCCAATTTCAGTCAATGTCACCGGCTGCATGGAGTTTAGATCCTTTGCAGATTCAAAATCTGCAATATCTAACTTGCATTTAATTTCTATGCTTACGATTTATTACTCCAGAATTGCTCAGTTTTACTTCATGATCACCCCAAAACACCTTGAATGGTAGACATTTTTCACAGCGTCTTTGTTTACTCTATTTTCCTCTAATGCAGGGAGACTAAGTAACATGTCTTGAAGGCACAGAGTCAGTCCAAATCAGGAATGCAGCCTGGGCCTTCCAAGCTCCAGCCTTACCCTTCAGAACAAACACGGTTTAGTATGCATAGAGCAAAAGCCTTGTTTTTCCGTAAGTCTGCTAGTGATGCTGCACAGCCCTGTGCATAGTCCTTACATGATTAGCTGGACACCAGAAAAAAACAAAAGTTGTAAGACCCTCCCTCCAGCTAGGAACCCATGACTAGCTTAGCTAAAAATTAACTCAAAAGCTCTTAAAGGAGACAGATTCCACCACAGACAGTTCCATTCCTCCCTTCTCCCACGTAGGTTGCAGCAGGAGCTGTTTTGGCCACCTCACGTAAGACCAGTGTCTCTGATAAGTGAAAGGTACAGTTCTCTGGTCACTCTTCACCCAAGAAAGTTGTGGAACAGTTGAAAAAAAGGTGAAGAAGGACAGCAAAAATTCTATTCTCCTTGGATGAAAACTCATCCTTGTTTCCCCTGTCCCCCCCTCCACCTTCCCCTTTCTACAAGTTAATTCCAGCATGAATGAATGTGGAATACTTGATCTTCTCTCCTGTTAAAAGAGGACTGATAGAGAAACAAGAACATGATGAGAACATAGCGTATGTCAAGGAAACAGATGTCCGATCCCACTGGCACGTCCTCCTACCGGTTATCATTATAATTTCCCCTCTTTTTACAGCTTTGTCCTTCCAACGCATCCATTCCTATACTTCAGGAGCACCTGCTCCAGCTCAGCCCTGCCAAGTTCCAGAAAGGCAGCCAACATACCTGCCTTTCCTCTGTCACCCAGGGGCCAAGAAAACTGCTCTTCTCCCACTCAGAAAGTAGGAGGAATTACCCAAGAAAAGAGCAAAGCAGCTAATAAGTGAAATTACAAATACCCTGGAACACATAAATCACATAAGGCCATGGCCCAGATGCAGGCTGAAAGGAGGCAGTGCAAAAGCACTAACATTGATACTGATCACAGGAAGCTCCAATGCCAGACAAACCACTATCTCACCAGCTGTCAGACACCCTGTGTATTTTGCATGACTGGGACCTGACCCTGAGTGGCAACTATTAATCCACCTCACGCAATACCCGCTGCTGCACAGAGACACAGCCCTAAAAAGCAGGGACAGATTATTCGTTTTCTTACCAAAATTCAGTCATGTTGGCTAACACAGACTAGCTTATCAGAACAACTCTCAAGAGAATAATATAAGGAGGAAGGAGATATTCAGTCATCATACAGTCCTAAAAGGCCCTGAAGCCATTTATCCCTCTACAGCAAAGGTGGCATTGTTTATAGAATACAGATTCGCTTTACAGCACCTCCCTACGTCAATACATTGCCACCGCCCCAGAATGTGCAGCTCTAACCAAGAACAGGATTTTATCTGGAATGTTTAGAAATGGCCAAACAGGAAAGGGGAACAAATGACACATGGAAGAGCTATCAAAAAAATAAAATAGCTGTAGTGCTTGGGAAGATAACATGAGCAACTGGTTCCACATGGGATACAACCTGCTGGGAAACACTCAGAGAAGGTCTCAAGTTTTGCCCTGGCAGGAGCATAGCAGCAAAAGTTTCCTGAACAAGTCTCAGTGTCAAATGGGTTGGGCTATTCAGAAACCAAGCACGCTTCAACAGCTTGAGTGCTACTTAGAAACAAGGGATGATAGGAAAGACCCAATCCACTGGAAAGCCTCAAATCGAGTGTTTCACCCAGATACTAGGGCTGAATTCAGCCTCTCCTACGCTACCAAAGCAGACTGGTCCAAGAGACTTTCAATCAGATATATCCTGGACAGCGTCAGATCACACAATATTAAATCATGATGTTAATAACTGTTTGGCCCCACAAATCCAAACAATCCCTGTATTTTAGCACATGTAGATATTTTGTATCTGTGGAAGACAACACAGCTCAGAGATAAGTTATTTGCTACCTGAATGTTCAAAATAATCAAGCAAAGACAAGATAATAGAAAGAAAGAAAATTTCTAACATATACTGGCTAAATGAAAGTAAGTTATTTGCTACCTGAACGTTCAAAATAATCAAGCAAAGACAAGATAATAGTTAAGAAAATTTCTAACATATACTGGCTAAATGAAAGAAAATCCAGTCTCTGATGCATTTAACTTTTATGACTAGCTGAAACTCATCCCCAGGGAGTCATTGTGATCACAGTTTAAAATCCACCCTCTTCCTCCTAGGCTCCCATTAGGTTTTGAGAAATATAAACCTAACACACCAAACCCAGCAATTAAGCAGACATGTTAGCTATAAAGAATTTCTCATGTTACACCAGGCTAGGAGATGCATCATGCAACCACTTTGAAACCAGCCTGAACAGAATCATAGAATCATAGAATGTTTAGGGTTGGAAGGGACCACTAGTGGTCATCTAGTCCAACCGCCCTGCAGGAGCAGGGACACCGCTAACTAGATCAGGTTGCTCAGAGCCCCATCCAACCTGGCCTTGAATGTTCCCAGGGATGGGGCCTCCACTACCTCTCTGGGCAACCTGTGCCAGTGTTTTACCACCCTCATTGTAAAAAATTTCTTCCTTACCTCTAGCCTGAACCTACCCTGTTCTAGTTTAAAACCATTTCCCCTTGTCCTAACACAGCTGGCCCTACTAAAAAGACGTTCCCCATCTTTCCTATAGGCCCCCTTTAGGTACTGGAAGGCCGCAATCAGGTCTCCCCGTAGCCTTCTTTTCTCCAGACTCAACAAGCCCAACTCTCTCAGCCTGGCCTCATAGGAGAAAATAATACTACTAAATCCTAGTCCCAGGAATGAGCTAAATTCCTGAGATACTGGCTCAGCCCCTTCTTCATTGTTTCTAGTATTTCAACCGTTGCCAAATCCTGTTTTTGAAAGAAACACAGATCTTCAGATTGATAGTCCATTTACCCGTTTTTCTTTTGGAAGTGTCTCCGGAAGTAGGAAGAAGATGAAAATTAATTCAGCCACAGCAAACGTGAGTGCTAGCAATGCTGAATGAAGATAGAAGACTTCTCCTTTCTCTGTCTCCACGGCTAGGTAAGCTCCGATCATGGGACCCAGGGTAAAACCAAGGGAGAAAGCAACGCCAATCATTGCCTGCAATGATACAATGAATACAGACATGTAGTCTGAGACACCAGTTTGTTCAGGTAGCTCAGTTCTAAAACAGTTTGGATTTCCTGGCATTTACCTTAAAGAAATGCAACCAGATACAGAATGTAACCACCCTGAGGATGTAGGGAGTGCACAGCAATGACCATTAAGTGTGAAAAACCTGTTATTTCCAAATAACTGATTTTATTTTCTGTCTAGTCAGGGAAGTGGCAGGAGCAAACTGCAACATGTTTATGAGTGAAAGGAAGTTGGGAAGGGAAATAATGATTCCCACTGCAGGGACTGCTCAGCCAGTAGATCCCTCAGCCATAGGATAAACTTTTGTAGTGTAAAACTGGAGAATTGAGGACAGCTCCATGGTAGGAATTCATAACAATGTCTAAAGCTTCTAAAACACTTTGGCATCTAGAAGTTATAATTTCTGTATTTAGGAATTTATGGCTCATAGAGCAAACAGGCTGAGAGGTTTCCCAGAACAACCTGAATTTAGTGCAAGTACTAAAGAGGATTTATGAACTCACTATGAAACCAGTACATAGGAAAAGAGGTGGAATCTGTACACACTGGATGGGAGCTTAAAAGAATACTGATTTGAGTCATCAGCCTCAGTGAGATTGCTTAAGAATACAACAGTGCAGGATCCACCTCATTTTCTTTAAGAAACATTCAAAGATGCGTACTTGTGTATGTGGGACCCAAACATGTCATCCCAGGACACAATACTCCTGCTTTCCTGAGTCTATTTAACTCTATCTGTAGTACTAAACTAAACAAGGCCAGGGCACACTCAGGCGTCACCGTGTCACCTCACAGTCTCCACTGTTTTTCAACCTGCCCAGCTAGCACTCTCCCAGGCAATGTCCCATCAGAGTCTGGGAATAGAATCAGTCAGATGCTATTCTCTTCCCAGAAAGCAGAATGAACATGCCTACTTTGCTCTGAAAAAGAAGACAGTAGAGCCATACGGATGTGAGCCACGCCATACTAAGTGACTTGCTCTCAGGCTCTAAAAATAGGCCCTGACCCGTTTTATTTACTAGTGCTGTGTGGCCATCCCTCTCCATACATAAACCAATACTTTGGCTCGCCAGGATTATAATAAATTGCTTGGAAAATTCATTACCTATCACTGTGAAATCTAAAGCTTTCCTCTCCCAAGAAACATTTGTCCCTCATAGTGGCTTATAACAATCTGTTAACAGGAGTTTGGGCCCCCAAGATTTATATAAGATAAAAGATCTAACTGGTAATTCACCAGCAAAGTTCAGCCTGCAGGGTGTTTCCATCTGGTCTGGTGCCTTCTGTAAGAGGACAGGGCAGCTGTTCATATTACTTGCTGCTCAGTCAGCCAAATGCCACATCTTTTACCTGCTGAGCTCAGATCCTGAAGCCAGTGCAGCATCCAAGGAAGTCAGGAGACATGCTGTGTTGTGCTGCTGTGCTTCCACAGTTTGGGAAGGTGAGAAAAATGGGTTGTCTTTTAACTGGCTTCCAGCTACCAGAATTGGGCCATAAGACTTTTCAATTTCTCAGCTATTATAATGAGGATTACTATTATCAGCAGGAGTAACAGTTACAACACTTACACAGAGAGTTTTGCCACTTCTAGGGCATCTGCATTTCACTTGTCATTGACATCTGCATTCACAAGTCATCGACAAGTAAAGTCTGAGAGCTTACCAACAAAATGACCTGGCATCTTTTCAGAAGGGAGGTAGTATATAAAGTCATGTTTTCACTTGATCAGTGAATACACACACCTGAGGAAGACATTCTGAGCACCTGAAATCAATTAAAATTTACCCAGCAAACAAAAACATATACCCCACATGCGTAACTCACCATGCCCTTGCTCCGTGCTTTTGGAGAGTGCAAGTCAGCAATTATAGCTGTGGAGAGGCTGACATTCCCTTTGCTTATTCCACCTACTATCCTGGAGAGAAGAAAAATGCCAAAAGTCCTAGAGGCAGCCCATAGTGCGTATGATGTTATCAAACCCATCTGTAGAAGCAAGAAAGGGTTCTTTATAAAGCAGAGCAAAGTTGATACCATTTCTGCATATTTCCCAGCTAAACATTTAATTTGTTTGTTTTGAATAGCTGCTCCAATACCCATGTAACAGTAATGTCTGAATATACTGATACTGCATTATGTCCCGAACAGTGATATAAAAGAATTAGAAACAAATCCATACAAACTTCATATGAATGTGAGACTACTAATAAAATTAGAAGAACAAAGAAAGTTCAGAGGGATCTAAATCAGTCTTACGCACAAAACAGCTTTTATACATCCCGCTCCACTTGTTTTCAACTTCAAGAGAATTCTGATTTCAAAATAAGAATTCACAGTTCTAGCCCTTAAATTTCATAATCAGTCATAAGCATGCATGTTTGTTTAATTCACTCTCCGCAAGCCTACAGGATAGGGGGATTTGTATATCATTTGCTGACAAGTTCCTCCATGTATGTACACATTTGCTCTGCACTGCTTCTGTAATTAGAGTCCCATGCCAGCAACAGAGAAAACGTTTTGGAGAATGTTCATATTCATAAGAAATACATCTTACACTGCTATATAGCATTTCCTAACCAACAATCCATGAAATAAGTCAGGCAGTGATCAGCCCTCATTAGTCACTTGGGGAACTAAAATATACAGGGGTTAACATATATAAACAGAGCATCTTAAGTCATACTCCTGTACACAGGGGAAAGGGATTTTGGAAAATCCCAGCAACAGATAGACATTTTGGTGCCTCCTACATACAATTCTGGACCTGGGAAGCTCATCTTAAGTAGCTGTGGCCAAGTGACTTGGCAAGAAGCAGCCAACAACCATCAGACCTAGAATATTCAATTTCCCAATCCTTTGCGCTAACCACAAAACCATAGTGCCTTCAACTGTGTATTGAGATGGCATGCCTAAAATCAGCACGAGACACATACCACTGTCATCAAGATGACAGGTCTTCTGCCCAAGGAGTCCGACACAGCACCAGTGAGGGGACAGGAAAAAAACTGTAAGATGGAAAAGATTGAGCCAATCAGACCTAAAATTAAAAAAATAATAATCATTAGACTTGCTGCCTTCATCTTAAATACAAAGACAGCCAACCTGTTCCAGACCTATCACTCCATCGCATCCTTTAAAAATATACAATGAGATGTAAAACAACAGCTGTAAAGAACAGCTATGTCTCTGAAACTTAGCCACCCTCAAAACACTGATCTTACATTGTTATTTAATTTAGGTGGCAAATATAGACAGACCAGACTAACAGGCATAAGCTGGATGATTCACTGGTTACTTCACTGGTGAGAAAGGGTTTGAAACTCACTGATTATAATGGAATGCCAATGCTTCCCCAACTGACTACATGCATTTTCTGTTCTTAAAGCAGAGATAACACAGCTTTAACAGTCCCAGTTCTTTTAAGATTTTTTTTTTATTGTTTGAACCTGATTCTGTCATGTTTAATTAGCTTTTCTTCCCTTCTTATCATGGAAAGGAGGACATAAGCACTGCTGTTAGTGAGACGCCCTAAGAGGCAGGAGTGATTCCAGCAAACTCCAAGAGCCTTTTGAAATCTGCCTCCAGCTTCTGTGATCTTTAATTCCTCTTTTCTCTTGCCATTTCTAGCTTCACACACTGATTAATTTGCACTACACTCTCAACAAGCAGGCAAAAAAATGCCTTGCCATCACAGTTTTTCGCTAAAGGAAAAACTGGGTTATATGTCTCAGATCATTCATCTATCAAAGCTTTAAAAGGCAGAGGACAGTGAGTCCAGAAGTTCTGTTCCCATCAACTCTGAGGGAAGCAGAATATTGATACTGAACACCTTGGGGACAACAACTGCTTATGATAGCTCAAAAGCCCAAAAACCTGTAAAAAAATAATAGAATCATAGTTTGGGTTGGAAGGGACCTATAAAGGTCAGCTAGTCCAACGCCCCTGCCATGGGCAGGGACATCTTCAACCACATCTGGTTGCTCAGAGCCCCATCCAGCCTGACCTTGAATGTTTCCAGGCATGGGGCATCTACAACTTCTCTGGGCAACCTGTTCCAGTGTTTCACCATCCTCATAATAAAAAATGTCTTCCTTATATCTAGGCTGAATCTACCCTCATTTAGTTTAAAGCCATTACCCCTTGTCCTATCGCAACAGGCTCTACTAAAAAGTGTCCCCATCTTTTTTATAGGCCCCCTTTAAGTACTGAAATGCCACAATCAGGTCTCCCCAGAGCCTTCTCTTCTCTAGGCTGAACAACCCCAACTCTCTGAGCTTGTCCTCACAGGAGAGGTGTTCCAGCCCTTTGACATTTTTGTGGCCTCCTCTGGACCCGCTCCAACAGGTCCGTGTTTTTCCTGTGCTGAGGACCCCAGAGCTGGAGGCAGTACTGGAGGTGGGGTCTCACCAGAGCGGGGCAGAATCACCTCCCTTGACTTGTTGGCCACACGTGCCAAATACCTCATAGCCAGGGAGCAGCAAAAGTGGGGCTGTTCCACCCAGGGGAAAGAGCCTCATTAAGAAAAGCTGTCACCAAAGACAGCAGAAGAGATGGAGACAAATACGACAGATATCAGGTTAATTCAGCCACCTTGTCTGCATGCTCACTGCCTGTAGCTGCCAGGTAGTTAGTGAACATTCCCATCACCACTCAATACTGCTTCTAAACACTTTTCTCTCAATACTTTTCTCCCAGAGAGAAAACAGCAAGGGATACCAGCTTCCTTTCTGAGACAAACTATTTTATTTGCATGTTGCCAGTTAGATGCTATATTTCTTCAAAGGGCAAAAGAGTCAGTTGGACTCCTCTGGAAGGACCAAGGAGATTTCTCCTACCCGTTGAAAGCAACTGAGCCAAGTCAAGGGATACAGCACCCCTGAGAGTATAGGACACAGCAGGTAAAAGGAAAGGCAACAAGCTGGACACAACTGTGAGCTCCCAGCCCCTTGTTTAAACAGAGTTTGAGACAGAGAGAAGGAGCATGGAGGAGGCATGCAGTCAGGCCATAGAGGAGACAGAAAACAGTTTCTGAGGCATTAAAGAAAACTTGTTTCCTACCATTCAAAGCCAGCAATTTGATTGAAAACAAGAACAGAAACAAACCATGCCAGCAAGCACACCGTGGGAAAGAGGAAAATTGTTTATAAACTTTCTAATGCCTGTTAAACCCCCCAAACCTACTTTAAATAGTAACAATACATTCACACATACATTTTAATAAAGTTTTGCTTTTTTTTTTGTTTAAAAGCCTTTTGCTTATCTTAGGGAGGCCTCAGGTCAGCACAGGGTCTAGGCATTTCCAATTAAAATTAATCCAGACACCCTCACATCTTCATACTCTGAAATCCCAGTTTCCTCACAACTCTTTAGATCACAAGGAGCCAAAAGAGCCTCTGATGTGTAACACATGTATGCTGCGGGATTTCCTGTACTACTCCCGCTGGAGCTCACCCATGTGAGTGTCCTAGTGACAGCAAATGCTTCTGGGGCCCTGCAAGTCAGCAGCTCTCCTGCTTTTAATCAGACTAATGAGATTTAGAAGCAGTGCTGCACTATAGCTGCCCAGCAGCAACGTGAGACTTGATTCACAAGCTTCTAATTCCAGTGTTTCCTACTGATTGATCTCCTATCACATGCGGATCAATTGTGAAGGGAAAGTAATTTCTGTGACTGTGCAGAGTCTAGCACAGCAGGCTCCTGACCCTCAGCTGCCAGTCTGACAATAAGGAACAGCAGGCCTGTATTTCTGTAGCAATCTGTAGAACAAATTGGGCAAGATCATAATATAATTCAGGTTAAAAGGGACCTCTGGAAGTCACCTACTCCAACCGCTGTCTCATAGGGTCACCTACCAGGTCAGACCAGATTGTTCAGGATTTCATCCAGGCGGGGTTTGACAACCTTTGAGGATGGAGACTACAAAACCTCTCCAGGCAGCTTGTTCCACTGGTCATCCTCACTGTGCAAAAGCTCCTCCTTATTCCCAGTCTGAACCTCCCTTGCTTCTATTTATGCCTGTTGCCTCTTCTTCTCCCACCATGTACCACAGTCAAGTGCCTCACTGTCTTCTTGATAACCTCCCCATAGATATTGGAAGGGTGCTAGTAGCTCCAGGCTGAACAAGCCCAGGCTCCCCAGACCCTCTTGTCTTCCTGACCCTCTGCTGAACTCGTTGCAGTTTATGAATGTCTGTCTCGTACTGGGGGGCAAAAACTGAATGCTATGCTCTAGATGGGGTCTAACAAGTGCTGAGTATACGGGGACAACCGCTTCCCTCAATCTTCTGTCTCTGCTTCTGTTCATACAGCCCCTGTGCTGTTGGTACTTTTGCTGCCAGGGCTGGCTCATGCTCAGCTGGCTGCTCACCAGGACCCCGGTGCCTTTACAGCAGAGCTGCTCCTCACCAGTCAGTACCCAGCCTGTGTCACTGCAAGGGATACTCCTTCCCAGTAGCAGAACTTCATTTGTCCATTTCAGAAGGTTCCTACTAGCCCATTCCTCCATGTCTCCAAATGACAGAGGTGGAGCTGTCCAACTCTTCATTGCTATCAGTGTGGTAAAAACAAAATCATTCATAGCCTACTGTAAGAAACACTCTCTGTATTATTTAAGTCTAAATCTAATAACAGACAAGTATGCTTGTTGTATTTCTTGTAATTTTCCTCATTGTTCATCATTTGTCACATCAACACTGCAAATATCTTGAAAAGAACACACTGTTTCTGGGGGGGGGAAGGCGGGAGCACGGGCGGGGGGGCCTGTTAGCTTGTTTGTTTAATTTCCATACCTCCAAATAAGACACTGTTGTATTTCCGCTCTGGAGGCATCCCAACCATCACTGCAAACCAGTCCACACCACGTTGCAATGACATATAGAATCCATCCTGCAAAACAGATAGCTGGGGAATAGAAGCAGGGGAACAGTTTCTCCATTTTATTTTCAAAGACGGCATCAGAGCTTAGTGAACTAGAGGGTAACGTTAGATGACTCCTTCCCTCCTCCTTGGAAAAATGTCCTGGGTGATCAATTGTCATAGGCTAAAAATAGCTTAAATTGTGAATGCCAACAGGCAGCAGATAATTGGGTGTGTATGTTTGGGTGGGGGAATGTCTGAATTTGGACTTTTTTAAACCACTAGGCCTGATACTTGCTAAAACCCGAACTTAAGAAATGTGGCATGTCCTGGATCCTTCAATTAATAAAGCAAAATGACACACACTCTATCCCTCTGCACATACACTATTTAGACCAGGAGAACCAGGGACTTCTAGGTGCAGGAAGAAGAGGTGGTGCAAAAATGAATGGTTCTTGAAAAGAGGAGGAGGACTTGAAAAGAAGAAAGGGGCCCTGAAAAGAAGGTGAAGATCTTGGCTACGGAAAATACACTGGAAGTGGGGGAAGATCCTGCAGATCAGAGCCCATGGTTAGGGTTAGAGATAGGGTTGTAAGAAAGACAAAGGCTACAGCTGCAGTTTGAGTGGGGTTAGAAAGAGGCTGTGAGATAGAGGTATGGGCTGCAAAAATAATTCTCCCGACAACATCTTCATCTTGTTCAGTAACACCTGAGAATGGTAACTGCAAGCAGCTGCACAGCAGGGAACCAAAACAACTTTCTGCCCTGAGTTCCCAGACCAGCAGTCAGCTCCCTGCTAAGAATGGAAGTTGAGACCTAGTTAACACAGTGCTGGGAGTGGGAGCAAGAGAGTGTGTGAAATGCTCAAGTAAGGGTAAAAGCTCTTACCTCTTTGTTTCTTAGATAAACCCCAGTATGAAGATCCATTATCGATTGTCATTTACTCTGTTTCACCATCAACATCAGTGTAAGTCACAAATACACTGGTAATTACAAGGACTAGTCCCTAAGAAATACCTGAATTTTCCCCCAAAGAAATCCCTCATTTTAATGAAAAAGCAAGAGAGGAGAGTCTCATGCAGGTTCACAAACAAATTCAGTCCATGAACCATTTAAATGTGCTGGATATTATTATTCTGCCTACAGCTATTTGGTTTGCCCCAAAGCAAGGGGTTTTTCTTCTGACCTTCCCTGAAGATCTCATACCTAACATTTTCAGCAGGCTGACTTTCTCTGTTGCTTACCTCAGTCTGGCTGTAATAATCAAGGATGGAAGGAAACAGTGGCAAGATGAGAGTGAATCCCAACAAGTCGATGAAAAGTGCCAGGAAGACAATTGTAATAACATGACTGCTGTTCTGTTCTTGCTTGTCATTGTCATTGTCATTGATGGAGCTGCTGCTGATTTCTCTCTCTTGCAGGGCCATGTTCCTAGGTGCTCTGCTTCTAAAAAATTACATTTATATCCAGTCAACAGGAACCATTTTGCAGGCCTTTTGTAAGACTATCTTGCTGATTCATTCTCGCTTTCTACAGACTTCACAAAAATAAATATAAGCTATGGCCATATCAAGCTACCTGGTTTTCAAAGGAACAGGAACCTGAACTCTCTAACCTTGGTTATTAGTTGAGCACCAAGTTTGCTTGCATCAAGAACAGGCTACAAGGGCAGTAAGATAACAAACTCTATTATAGGAGCTTCCCAAATAAAACAGAACTAAGGAGCATTTAAAGTTTGTTAACATCTGAGCAACGCTAAAACAACTTTCCCAAATGTTTTTAACTCAGCATTACAGTAAAATAGATAAGAAAGGGCACTACTGTTTTGAATATCTAAGTAATAGATTAATTATGCCTTCAGTGTATACTAGAAATGACTAAAGCAATGACAATTAAAAAAAAAAAAAAGGTAGACTTCCTAACCACTGTAGGAATGCTGTCTTCAAGGTAAATCCTGGAGAGTAACAGCAACTCAAGAATCCACACAATAGAATTTTGAAACTTGAATTTTTTTTTTTCTTTCTCTGGATGACAGCCACTGATCAGCGATATGAGTTGGGGCATCAAGTGATTAAGGCAGCGTTTTAGTTTGTCAGAAATACCAGAACTACCAACTTTCTTTGATGATACTCCAAAACTGTCTTAAAGACCTAAACAAGGATGCAGGCCATATCATGTTCAGTATTTAACAAATAAAGAAACCAGTCCATATCCTGAAAAAAACTGAGTTTCAACAGATACCAAAATCAAGGAGTAAAATACACAAACCATGGAACTGCAAATTTCTAACTTGTAAAACATTACAGTGTATCTCACTCATAAGACAATCAGATCTGCAGTCCCTTCTACTGCAAAAATCCATGAGCATTTGTTGCACTAGATGAGCAAAAATGGAGACAGAACTTCATCCAACAAAGTCAATCAATACCAAAATATTCATTGAGTTTGATGAGTCAGGATTGAAAACAGAGGAATTCTTAATACAAACTGTGTTCCAGACATACTACGTGCACAAGGCACTTGTGCATATAATATTACACTAACTGAAGATCATAACACTTTGTTATGCTCAGCAATAAATATAATTGTGACATTTCTTTACCTGTGGATTCAGTTTACTAGTACTGAAGCATTATTAAAGTTAAAACACCATGAGGTAAACATGGAAGGCAGCCACCTGCAATCCATTTATTAAATTCTTGGCACAACACTCTTAAATCTGCTAGTGAACACAGCAGTTTGGTTATGTTCAGGATCCTTTTATTTAAAATGGTAAGTCATCAGCGCTACAAATATTTAGTGTTATTTGTTTACCCAAATGATCTAAGAGCATCTGGAGCCAAAACAACCATTCCTTTAGACAAATCCTCCCCAGCCTTAGGTCTATCCAGCCAACAGTTGATGGATGGGTTCATTGTGGCAGATTCTATCTTGTTTTTCCTCACATTTGTTTATTCATCCACTGAATTGGATGACCAAGCTGAACTTTACTCCAGGGTTAGTTACACAGGATAACATCCTTTACGCCTTACCCTTACTGCCATTTCAGCTAGCGTGAGGTTTGAACCTATTGATGCTAGCACTGACCTTTCATTCAGCTCCACTTTTGGCTACGTGGTTGCAATTTCCCTTAGGCAATATCCCAAGGTACTACATGTTTCTGCCTGCTGTGCTCCATCAGTTTTATTGTTCAAATCTCTCTGTATTTTTTGCAAGGCAGGAAACCACCGAACATTTTATAGGTCCTGGCACCCCATCAGCAAAACCAAAAGCAGCTCTACCATGACATTGGTTTCTGTGAGACATGTTTGAAGCGGGGGGAGTTTAGGCAAGTTGTTTCTCTGAAACTCGTGTCCCTGATGCTCGCTCGGCTCTGCCTTGGCTCCCCCCAGGCATCCCTGTCTGTATCTCATCGCTTCTGCCTTCAACCTCTGGCCGGGAGGGCTGAGGTTTGACGCTGTGCCTCTCGGGAAGGGATCAGCAGCAAAGCTGGCCCTGCCCTAACGCAGAGACACAGATTTGTCATCAACCAGCAGGAAGAAGTTCATCCTTCTGGTGTTTCCTTACCACCCCTTCCCCGCCTCTGAAATTTCCTAGGCCCAGCTTTACCTTGCTAAGCCTTGGGAAGGCTCCTCTGACTCCTTAACAAAGTCCTGATTCAGGTCAAGAGCAGGAGTTTCAAGGAGGAGTGGGGAAAAAAAAAAGCAATTTCCCAGCGCAGCCAAAGCCCGGAGGAGACA